CCTGCACAGCAAAGTACTGGCCATCTGTGACATTCTGAATATAAAATATGAGTGTTTGGGGTACTGAGGCTACAACCTCCCAGCTTGCTGGGGGTCCTCATGTCCTTGGGGGCTGGGGATAGCACCCTGATCTGGGGAGAGCACCTCGAGCTTGGGGATTGCCTTGTGATTGTTGCAGAAGAATGCTGGGGCACTTCTTGGGCAGGACACTCCAGTCCTGAAATGGAGTGTCCCTGAATGGAGTTTCAGACTTCACAGTCAGCCCCAGAGACACTCCATTTTGCAGCTGGGGCCTCACCGTGGGGTTATTTAGGTGGGACTGGGATCTTCTTCCTCATCCTCTGGTGCACAGCTGCGGCAAGGCTGGCTGCATATCAGGTTTGACATATTCTGGACAAAGTAAGGAGTGGGACCATGGCTACATGTCAGGTGGGGAAACTGAGGCACAGAGCAAGCACCAAGGACCTCTTGTGATGGGCAGTGGGGCAGGGGGCACAAGTGGATGCTTCCCATCAGCTCTGCACCTTCTGGCAGTATCTGTGCTCACCCAAAGATGGAGACACCAGGGATCATGGGAGGGAGAACAAAGACCACCCTGGGGTGACACCAGGTGCACAGGGAACCCTGTGGTACAGGGGAGCAGACAGTCCAGGGGTGATGTTGAGGACCAGGTTTCATGGAGAAGGCCTGTCTCTGGCCCCTCAGATCCCAGCACCTCCCAGTCACCCCTTGCTCCCGGCAAGCTGAGACGATGGCCATTGGTGGTCTCTCCTCTGTCCCAGGCATCAGCTTTGTCACCTGAGGAGGTGACAACCATCCTGCCAGCATGCCCCGGGCATCACCACTGCCATGGTCGCCATGGGGCCGGCCTGGTGTGAAGACCTTGGTCACTGCTGGGGTGTTTGTAACCACGCTCTGGAACCTGAGGTGCTTCCTCAGCCCCTCCAATGGCTCCAGAGAAGACTCTAAACACACAGAGCCACTGCTGGTGCTGGTGTGGGAATGGCCCTCGAAGCAGGTCCCCAATGTCAGTGGGGACGTGTGCCACGAGCTGTACGGCGTCACAGGCTGCTGGCTCACCACAGAGCGGCAGCTCCTGCACCAGGCCGATGTGGTGGTGTTCCCCCATGCCAGGCTTCAGCCTGGCCAGGACAGGCTGCCCAAGGAGAGACCACCAGGACAGAACTGGGTGTGGGTCTCCCTGGAGTCCCCCTCCAACAGTAGAGCTCTAGCAGGATGGAACCAGACCTTCAACTGGGTGATGACCTACAGGCAGGACTCAGACATCTTTATCCCCTATGGCAAGCTTGTGCCCAACCGCTCGGCCACTATGAACATCCCTGCAAAGACCAACTTGGTATCCTGGGTTATCAGCAACTACCACAGGACTCAGAAGAGAGCTGAAGTCTACAAAAACCTCTCCAGGTACCTCCATGTGAATGTATACGGGAAAGCAAACAACAAACCCCTCTGCAAGGACTGCCTCTTGCCAACGACATCCAAGTCCAGGTTCTACCTGGCCTTCGAGAACTCCATCCACCGGGACTACATCACAGAGAAGCTCTGGAGGAACTCGCTGCTGGCCGGCACTGTGCCCGTGGTGCTGGGGCCACCCCGGGCCAACTATGAGCAGTTCATTCCTGCCGATTCCTTCATCCACGTTGATGACTTCAACTCCCTGGAGGAGCTGGCCATCTTCCTGAAGACCATGAACTCCAGCCGCTACCAGCAGTTCTTTGCCTGGCAGAGGAGGTTCAGCGTGAAGCTCTACACTGACTGGAGGGAGCGGATCTGCACCATCTGCACCGCTTACCCCCACCTGCCCCGCGGCCACCTCTATCCCGACCTGCAGAGCTGGTTCAACTCCTAGTGTGTGCCAGGACCATTGGGATGTATCCAGGCAGAGGATACAGGGGTGGGAGGTGTGTGAGGCACCCACCTGCAGACTAGGATGTGGGGCACAGAGAGAAGGGAGGACCACTCTTGTCCCAACCCAGCTGTTGCCACACTGGGACCTTGAGCAATTCCCCATGACTTAATTTTCCTGACCCAATGTTGACCATCTTGCCAGAGTGCTGGCAGGACCATAGGGTGCTTTGGAAATAAATGGTACATTGCTGCCGAGGCTGTGCCTGTGGTGTAAGGTGTGGGCAGGGCAGGGGGCTGGTGGGCGGCTGAGGGTTCCTGTGATCCTCAGTGTCCCCCCAGCACCATTTGCTGGGTGCCAAAGCCCTGGTGGCAGAGGCCGCATGGTGACATTTGCGGCTGGGGGGGAAGAGCCATGCTCAAGCAGTACAGGGGGGCCCAGCACCCCATGGCCAGGAGGGAACACAGCCTCTGCTCCCCCATTTCCTGGCAGCACCCATCTCCCCCACCCCCCTTGAATCGTGGGTGCCACTATGCCAATGAGGAGCCACAGGACAGCAGATCCTCTCAGGGCAATTTCAAAGTCAGCCAGGCACAGGGATGCTGTGGTTTGTCACTCCCTCCCTGCTGTGGCAGGAAGGAAGCAAGCTGGTGGCCTCCGGGAGCAAAGCTAGTCCCATGGGCACCCTGCACACACAGACATAGCACTGTGGGGACCCTGCACCATGTCCACCCTGCACCATGCACACATCCTGCTCAGACAGCACCCTACATTATGGGCACCCAGTACCATGTATACCCCCTGCAGCATGGGCACCATCCAGGATCAGTGGTGATTTTGGGTTTGAGTGACAGGACCAGGGAGTGAGACACACTGCTCTACCCATGCCTTGCCCCATGCCCTTCTGCTCGGTATCATCAACCCCAGTGATATCAACAACTTTTAGTCACAAGTTTCCCCAAGTTTTCCTCCCTGCAGCTCTGAAGTCACCCAACTCCACCCCTGCCACCCTGTGACCCACCAGGTGCCCACCAGGACTCAGGTCCCCCTTGGTAGAGGGGGCAACCCTGCCCTAGTGCCAGCCCTGGTGGGGTGGCAGATGAACAGGCACACCACGCTCTTCTGACTTCTGTGGCTTCCGATTTCCGCTTTGTTTTCTGGGTCAACCAGAAGTGGAGAAGGAGGGGCTGTGGGTGCCCACAGACAGGTGCTGGGTGCCCACGGGCAGGGTGCCGGGGCTGTGGGATATGGGGGTCGGGGCTCCTGCCTGGCTGGAAATAGAAAATCAGATGGTGGAAATGTGGAGACAAGCAGACCTCAGGGAGATGATACCCTTCTCAGCTTTCTGCTCCCAACCCCACCATCCTCCCACACCCTTAAACTGCGCAGCTGTGACAGGGACAGTTTCTAGTGGATGCCATGTATGGCTGTGCCCCCACTCCACAGGCAGGCAGGGAAGTATCCCTGGGTAACAAGTAGGGATGTAGAGTGAGCCAAGGGGGTCCTGCCACGCAGGGCTGGCACCCAGTCCGGCAGAGTCCCAGGGTGCTCTGTTAGCAGCTCCTTAAAGTGCCCCCACTCCAGGCAGACCTGTAGACCAAATCAGCTGCCGAGCTGAAAATTGGGCTTTCCAGAAGCTTCCCTACAGGTTTGGTTGGGGATTTCATTCTGCTCGGGGGAAGGTCCCTCAAGGGAAAGGGCTGGAGGCAAATCAGCTGCCGAGACCACAGTAGGGAAATGCGAAGTCATCCCCCAGACACCCCTGGTTCTCACTGGCTCAGCTCCCAATGCCCACTGGACCTGCCTGGCTGGGTTGGCATCACCCCAGCATGAGGCTGACTCAGATGGACCACACACACAGGAGCATCCATCCTTTGCCCATCAGTGTCGCACCAGCAGCCCTGTGGGTGAGAACAAACCCACCTTCCCAGACCTCTTCCCTGCCTACCACTCTACATCCTCCCTAGTCCTTCCCTGTCCATGGCAGCTGCTGAAGCAGCCTGTAAATGAGATCCCACTGCTTCCCCCTTTCCCAGCAGCTACAGCAAACCAGCAGTTTAAACTGGGTGGAAGATGACCCCCCCCTTCACTTTTGACCCCCTCTGCTTCAGGAGGGGAACAGCCTCTCCAGAACCAAGCTGCCACCAGTCCTGGTTTAGGGGCCAAGCTGCAGGCAGCCAAGAGCTGGGTGTTGCCAGCGTGACCGGGACACGTCCATTCTCTTTGGGTGCCTTGGTCCAGTGTCGCTGTGCCCCCACATGCAGCCAAACCTGCACTGCTGGGCTGCAGGTGCAGGGATGCAAGTGAAGCAAGGAAAGGGTTAACTCATTCTTGCCCCAAAGAACTCTGAGATTTATTTCATTGCCAAGGGGAATGTGATTAAGAACAAAAAATATAAAAATCATCATTAACTACAGCAGGCTGGAAGGCTTGGGGTGCTAGCAGCATGGACAGGGCGCTGTTGGCCCCCTGGGCTGGGACCCCCCAGGGAAAGGTGGTTTCTGGGCAGCCAAGCCAGGCTGGGGCAGGGGACAGTGGCTGGAGAGTGAGGAGGGCCCAGGGGACTGAGGGTCCTCAGTCCCCTTTGCCCAGTTTGTGCTGGGCACAAGCGCTGGGGAGGACCCCCCTGACCCAAACAGGCCTCACCAGCTGACCCACAGAGGGGTGAAGCTCTCCTGTGCCACAGCTCAAGGGGTGGCGGGGGCTCACCTCCACCCCTTGCCCCTGGCCTCAGCTTACCCTGGCTGCCCAGGAGGGTGGGCAGAGCCACCAGGGCCCCTCAGCCCTGGCATGGTGTTCCAGCCCTGCTCTACATGACAGGGAGGAGGCACCTGGGAAACTAGATCACTACAAAAATTTTTGCTTTTTAAAACTACAACCAAAAACCATTTCAAAAAATAATAAAACCACCCCCCTCCCCCCACCCCAAAATCTAAAAAATACTTTTTTTTGGGTCTTCCAGAAGAGCGGCTGGGGCTGTGCGCACATGGCTTCAGGGGGTGCAGTGGGGCAGGAGCAGCTGCCCCTAGGAGAGGTCAGAGGGGGGGCCAATGCTGCTGGGACCAGTAAGATCACATAACTGGGAAGGGCTGGGAGCAACCGTAGACAGCGAGCGACAGGCTCCCAGCCCCTTGCAACCCAAAAAGCCCCACACAGCAGCCCAACGAGCGGAAGCAGGGCTTTGCCTGGGCCAGCCCGGGGCAAAGTGGGGGCTGCCAGACCACCTGCAGTGACCCCACAGCCCCTGGTTCAGTGGCCGCTGTTGCTCATGGAGAGCCCAGGCTGCAGCGCTTGTGGGAACATCTCAGCTTTGTGAAAGGTCGGCATGTAGATGGGAGGGGAGGGTGCCAGGCTGTAGCCCTGGGACGTCACTGGGATGGGCAGGGTGGGCGGCACCAGCGGCTGGTTCATGTTGTACATCATCCCATCTGCCTCGTTGCCATAGGGCAGCAGCAGCCGTTTGCCTTTCTGACGCCGGTTGCAGAACCAGACCCGGACCACCTGCAGGGAGGGAGACAGAGAGATGGGTGAGGGGGTGACCCCAGGCACTCTGTGGGTGACAAGGAGACCCTTCTACTGGTGGCACCTCCACAGCACCCCAAGTTGCCAGTGCAGCCCCCTCCCTGCCACACATCTCTTTCCTGGTCTGAGCCCTGATGGACTCCAGCCAGGAACACTTTTCCGTTGCTTCCAGAGCTGAGAGAGGTAGAAAATGTTTAACAGGAAAGAAGATAATGAATTGAAAGAAAGGTTTCTCTCCAAAGGCCAGTGGCATTATCAGATGAAGCCAATATGCATTTGTGACTGGAACTTGTGTATTGTTCGTAGGTTGTGGTTTGTTGGTCTTCTCGTGCATTTCCACTTCCAACGAAGAAAAAAAGTTTTCACTTTCCATGTGGGTTCTTGGGGGTAAAAATCAGCTCCCTTAGAGGTGAATTAGTATCAAAGGATTACTTTTATATATTATGTGCATATACACAAACACAGATGGGCGTTGTGTTGGGTCTGGGAATTATTTTTGTGCCTGTAAAGTTTTAAATACTCCATCTGTGAAGGAAAGTCTCCTCTGGAGCCAAGTGGGTTTTTTTTCATACTGATGAGCTATACCTCATAACTGCTTACTTCTGCTCTGAGACAAAGTATCAACCTGGCCTGACGCAGATGCTCAGGAGCTGCTGACATTTGGGCACCCACCCTTCCCACCCTCTCAACCTACGTCTTTATCCAGGTTGAGGTCCTCAGCAATCTGGGAGATCTCCTGGGGATTGGGCTTCACGCACTTGCGGAAGAAGCTCTCCAGTGTCCCCTTCACATTGGTCTCAATGCTGGTCCTGCGTTTTCTCTTCCGGGCTTGGGCCAGTACTTGCTCCGCATTGCACATCTGGGAACAAGAGAGGGAACATGTTGGTCACTGGATGGAAGAGTCTCCACCAGGCTCTGGGCACACATGTGGCTGGCTGCAGAGCTCTGGGGACAGACTGTGTGTCCCTGTGACTCTCCACTGAGCATCACTCCATTGTGACTGGGGCCATTCCCAGTATCCCAGCCCTGCCAGCAGCTGGTATGGGGAGGCTGGACACATCTTCCTGCACCCCCACCAGGTTCCCCAGGGAGCAGTAAGCTGCACATTTAGCCTTTCTGAGGTTCCAGCAGGACCTGGCTGCTCCAAGATGGGAGCTGCCATAATCACTAGGTGTCTGTGGGGGATTGGGCTCCCCTCAGCTTGGCAGAAAGCAATACTCAGCGATGTCCCCCCAAGCCGGACTGAAGCCATGCAGTGAGATGCTGCTGTGGCACAAAATACCTCCTGTTTCCCTTTTCTCTCCCCAAAGGCATGTTGGAAATGGAGAAGAATCTGTGGCTTGAGGGCTTGCAGGCGTAGGGTACCCCAGCTCCCACCCTCCCTAGCCCGCACCTCTTGCATGTTGTCCGTGTTCTCCGCCTCGTTGAGCCAGCGCTGCAACAGTGGTTTCAGCTTGCACATGTTCTTGAAGCTGAGCTGGAGCGCTTCGAAGCGGCAGATGGTCGTCTGGCTGAACATCTTCCCTGCATGGGCAGGGAGGGCAGGGCATCATGCACCGCGCAGCTGCCCCCATCTGCAGCCCCCCAGGATCTGCCACCCCCAAACCTCCCCTGTCCCTGGAAGACCAGGGAATGGATTCTTTCTTCTGCTTCAGCAGGGATTTAAAGCTCTGAAAAAGCAACTGTAGCTATTGTATTAAACCAGTTTCCTGCTATGGAACCCTTCGAGCTCACCGCAGGGCTGGGCCCACCCCCCAACTCCCGCCCCGGGAGACCCAGGGCTGGTGCTTGTCGGCTCTTTTGCGGGTCGTTAAGGAGCAGAAGTCTCCATTGGGCCAGGTAATACCATCCCCCTCCCCAGCTTCTCCCTTCCCCCAGGCTGTGGGGGGAGAAGAGGGCCCTCCCCCGACCCTCTTCTGCCCCTCACCGTAGAGTGTGCCCAGAGCCAGCCCCACGTCGGCCTGGGTGAAGCCCAGCATGATGCGCTTGTGCTTGAGGTCCTTGGCGAACTGCTCCAGCTCTCCAGAGGTTGGCGCATCCTGGCAGGGACAGAGAAACACTGAGAGGAGACGACTCGTGGCCAGGGGCTGCTAAGCGCGGGGTCTGTCGGGTTGACGGGGTCCCCGTGGGACGGGGACAGCGCAGAGGGAGGCTCAGCTGAGCCCTCGGCAGCACGGACACGGGTCAAGTGCTTATGCGATGTGGTCCTTGGGCGATGGGATGGGCGACAGAGCGGTTTTTCCCAACCCCCGGGCGAGGGACTCTGCTCAGGTACCACGAAGCACCTCCATCATGCCCCACACAGGACCCTTCCCCCTCCCCCCCCCGGACTACGAACACTGCCCAGATCAACCCACGCCGCCGGCGGCGGCCAAGAGTGGCACAATGAGCACCCAGACCTCCTGGTCTGCCTCAACACGCCCTGGGAATGTCCCCTTTATCCCCCAGGTCGCGGTCTTCTGGCCTGATCAGAGGCAGCACCGACGGCCACATTGGACTGACGGCCCCAGATTCGCTCCGCTCCCACGTATCCCACCACACGACACCAAGACTCAGCTCTCCCGCGGCGTGGGCCACTTCGCCATGGCTCTGGGGCAGGGACGGCCCCTCGCCAACTGCTCTCCCGCCTGCGCCCGGGACAGGGAAAAGGCTCCCGTGAAGCGAGGGACCAAAGCGCCTGAGAGACGCGTGGGACTCAAGCTCCTCTTTGCCACCAGCAGGCTCTTTCCTTTTGGAAAGCGGTTACCCAGGCGGTTCCCACCTCCCTGCCGCGCAGTCTTCAGCCGCTGCGGTGGCATTTTTAAGTCTTTTACCCAAGTTCCATTTTTTAGCACAGTTGTGGGGTTTCTAGGCGTTCCTCCTGTCACCGAGCCGCGGCTTATAATTCCAGGCGTAGATCAGCAGCGGGAAGCCCGGAATATCTCTCCCACGGGGCATTCTTCACTGTCCCGCAGCCGGGAAACACTCCTCGTGACCACCCCCTACCCAGCGCGGCCGACTGCGGCCCGGGGACCCGCACCCATTGTGCGTGGGAGCTCCCGCAGCCACGGCCCGGAGGCGGCTGCGCAAACACACCCAATCCTCGCACGGACCAGCCCTGGCATCGGCCGCGCTGCTGCTCCCGGAGCGGGCTCGTGTTATGGCAAGATGAAAAAATATTAAAAACTAACCCAAACCACAG